TGGCGTCAATGTTACACCATCCAGATAAGACTTACGTCGACCCTCTGCATATCCAAGTCTATGATCAGCACGCTTATTGTAATGTGGTTGAAGAGGAAATTGATGGTGAACCTTGGTTCCACGATGTCAAGGAATACATCAAGTCAGGGGTATATCCGGTACCTGCCACAAGTAATCAAAAGAGAACCATTCGACGTCTGGCTAGTGGATTTTTCTTAAGTAGGGGAATCTTGTACAAGAGGACTCCAGATCTAGGATTACTAAGGTGCATAGACGCTAAACAAGCTTCGACTATCATGGCCGAAGTTCATTCCGGAGTTTGCGGGCAACATATGAGTGGGTATGTCTTGGCAAAGAAAATTCTTCGAGCAGGTTATTATTGGCTCACCATGGAACGAGATTGCATCAGCTTTGTTTGCAAATGTCATCAATGCCAGGTGTACGGGGATTTAATTCATTCCCCGCCATCTGAGTTGCACACAATGTCTGCACCTTGGCCCTTTGTTGCTTGGGGCATGGATGTCATTGGACCAATTGAGCCGGCAGCGTCAAACGGGCATAGGTTTATTCTGGTGGCCATTGATTACTTTACCAAGTGGGTCGAAGCTGTAAATTTCAAGTCCGTGACTAAGAAGGCGGTGGTAGACTTTGTTCATTCGAATATCATTTGCCGGTTCGGAATTCCCAAGATAATCATCACAGACAATGCTGCTAACCTCAATAGTCATTTGATGAAAGAGGTATGCCAACAGTTCAAGATTATGCATCGAAACTCCACTCCGTATCGTCCTAAGGCAAACGGAGCTGTTGAGGCTGCTAACAAGAACATAAAGAAGATACTTCGTAAGATGGTGCAAGGTTCCAGGCAATGGCATGAAAAGTTACCTTTTGCTTTACTGGGTTATTGCACTACTGTTCGCACCTCGGTAGGTGAGACTCCTTATTTGCTGGTATATGGAACTGAGGCAGTTATACCTGCGAAAGTTGAGATTCCATCCCTTCGGATCGTGGCTAAAGTTGAAATTGATGATGATGAGTGGGTCAAAACTCGGCTAGAGCAGTTGAGTTTGATTGATGAAAAACGATTGGCAGCAGTATGCCATGGTCAATTGTATAAGAAGAGAATGGCAAGAGCATACAACAAGAAGGTGCGTCCCTGGAAATTTGAAGTGGGCTAGTTGGTATTGAAACGCATCCTTCCACATCAGACTGAAGCTAAAGGCAAGTTCGCCCCAAACTGGCAGGGACCGTTCATTGTGACAAAGGTGTTGCCCAATGGTGCTTTGTATTTAACAGACATAGAAGGTAAATGTGTGGATATGGCTATCAATTCTGATGTAGTCAATAGATATTATGTATAATTTCTTTGCTTATCTTCAATCGTATTTTGTACTAGGCATGTTTAAAGTTGGAATGACGATGACATTTTATTCTGCTATCCCAAACACTTTTATTATTTGTTACCTTTTTTTTAGCATTATTTATTTTCTTTCACACCCCTCTTTTGGAATCAGAAGTAGAGCTGGAAATAGAAAAGAAAAAGAAAAGACAAAAAAAAAAGAAAAAGAGAAAAGCAAAAGAAAGAAAAGAGAAAAAGAAAGGAGAAAAAGAAAAGAAAAAGAAAAGCAAAGTAACAAAATCAAAACAACTTTTACTAGTTTGAACTACGTTCGACCTGATTCCTTTTAAGGATATGTAGGCAGCCTTACACGGTTCGGTCCCATCAGAATAAAAATACAAAATTCCCCAGATTCGAAGAAATTGGGGCAGAAGTTTTAGTTTTGTAAAAAGATCTGATTCCAAAAGTTATAATTTTGAACCCCTTCATCTTAAATTATTTTGAGCCTACATGCCACCTTTTCTTTCTAACCCTGTCCAAAACCTACACTACAGTCCAAAGAAAGACCTTCTAATCAACTTTGAGGATGCCAAGTCAAGTGAGATGGAGGTATAATTTACATCATGGGCAGCACCTTTGTTCATGGGCACAAGGAAAAGTTAATAAATGAGTGTCTTATTGGTGAAAACCCTCACGGGCACCATAGGGCGATGGTGAATCGAGAGAAAATTCAAATGAGAGAGTCTTATTGGTGAAAATCCTTACGGGCACTGTAAGGCGACAGTGAGTTGAGAGAGGAACAAATGAGAGAGGCTTGATGGTGAAAACCCCTTGAGGCATTACAAGCCGAATGGGGTTCATGACTTTACAGAGAAATTGAATTATGGAAACCCCGGTTTTGAAGTATGAAGACATGGCATGAACTGAAATGTGATTAGTTGGATGGATTAGGCTGATCAATCCGAAATGCATGTCATGATCATTGGATCCAGTTACTTCATTCAGATAAGTCTCTTTTCCATTTTTCTTCAAATAGTCATCTCTGTTTTTTTCCTTTTTATTCCTAATTCTCGAAGTCACTTCGCTTCGTTTCTTTTGGGTCTATTCTTCTAAGTCTATGTCAAATTAGTCTTTGTTAAGCAAGCAAGAAAGGACTTCAAAGCTCATTACCAACTTTTTATTTGCACCAAGCGAAATTCGGCCAGACACATCACAAGTGACATGATTTAGAATGAGCAATGCGGTGGTAACTGAAGTTCAGGTGGTCAAGTGATTCATGAATTTGTAGGAAATGTAAAGGTTCAACAGTTGTCAGAATGAAAGTACCATACGACAAGTTGAGTGTAAGGGATTCAAGTCATTCAGAGGTTTTGTGGTCGAGGTCCGATCAAAAGGTCAAACAATTCTTTGTAGCCCGAAGAAGCTAATCAAAATGAAGCGGGGTAGTGGCAGAAGCAGACATTTTCAACAAGGATGCCACAAACTAACCACCACATTTTCAAACTGACAAAATTTTCTTTGTTTTAAGCAGGGGCAAAAAATCTTGTTTGCTTTGCCAGGAATCCCCTGTGAGGAAAGCATGTTCTAGATAAGTTCAGTTTTAAGTTTTCAGGACCCTCCTGGATAATGAGAGTTAAGTTCAACTATTCAGGACCCTCCTGGATATTGGGATTTAATTTCAGGTTTTCAGGACCCTCCTGGATAATAGGATCTAGTTTTAAATTTTCAGCACCCTCCTGGATAATGGGATTCAACTAACAATCAATGAATGTTCCTGGTACAAACTGGGGCAGAAAACTCTCTGTTTTGTCTGTGTTGTTGTGATAGCAGATGCCCACTTGGAGAATGAGGGAATTTATTTTAAGTTTTAAGTCAGCATCAGGCGCCCACCTGAAGAACGAGGAAATTCATTTCAAGTGTTAAGTCAACATCAGGCACCCACCTGGAAAATAAGGGAATTCATCTCAAGCGCCCACCTGGAGAATGGGGAATTTATTTCAGTTTTAAGTCAGCAAGCGCCCACCTGGAGAACAAGGGAATTTATTTCAGTTTTAAGTCAGCAAGCGCCCACCTGGAGAACAAGGGAATTTATTTCTGTTTTAAGTCAGCAGGCGCCCACCTGGAGAACAAGGGAATTTATTTCAGTTTTAAGTCAGCAGGTGCCCACCTGGAGAACGAGGGAATTCATTTCAGTTTTAAGTCAAAATCAGGCGCCCACCTGGAGAATGGGGATTTTATTTCAGTTTTAAGTCAGCATCAGGTGCCCACCTGGAGAACGAGAGAATTCATTTCAGGTTTTAAGTCAGCATCAGGCGCCCACCTGGAGAACGAGGGAATTCATTTCAGGTTTTAAGTCAACATCAGGGGCCCACCTGGAGAACGAGAGAATTCATTTCAGGTTTTAAGTCAGCATCAGGCGCCCACCTGGAGAACGAGGGAATTCATTTCAGGTTTTAAGTCAACATCAGGGGCCCACCTGGAGAACGAGAGAATTCATTTCAAGTTTTAAGTCAGCATCAGGTGCCCACCTAGAGAATAAGGGAATTCATTTCAAATTCAAGTCAGTATCAGGCGCCCACCTGGAAAACGAGGGAATTCATTTCAAGTTTTAAGTCAACATCAGGCGCCCACCTGGAGAACGAGGGAATTTATTTCAGTTTTAAGTCAGCATGTGCCCACCTGGAGAACAAGAAAATTTATTTCAAGTTTTTAAGTCAGCATGCGCACCTGCAGAATGAGGGAATTTATTTCAAGTTTTAAGTCATCAGGCGCCCACCTGGAGAACGAGCGAATTCATTTCAGTGTTAAGTCAATATCAGGCACCTACCTGGAAAATGAGGGAATTCATTTCAGGTTTTAAGTCAGCATCAGGCGCCCACCTGGAGAACGAGGGAATTTATTTTAGGTTTTAAGTCAGCATCAGGCGCCCACCTGAAGAATGAGGGAATTTATTTCAAGTTCAAGTTTGAGAGGCATCAAGAGCCCTCCTGAAGAACAGGGTCAACTTTTAGTTTTCAAGTTCAATTGAAGTCAGCAGGATGCCCACCTGAAGAATGGGGTGAATTTTCAGTTTCATATTGAAGGATCAAGTGGAGATTCAAGGAAGATTCAAGACAAGAAGTAGATAGGATCTTGTATTTTTTTTATTTTTGTTGTAATTTTTTCTTTCAATTCATGATGTAATGGCAGGGACCGCAGACCGAAACCTCGACGGAACCTCACTCAACTCTCTCATCCTCTCCACACACTCCATCACTTCATTCACTACTGAACAACACGTGACCTGAATCCTTTATAGCCAAGGATATGTAGGCAGGTCAAATACCATGGCTCGGTCACAATCATTTTGAATAAGTGTCGGGTCAGAAATCAATTACGTCGCTTACTTGTTTCTTTGCTCAAAAATACTTTGTGTTTTCAAGTAAAGAGGGGTACTGTAAGCACGTAATTTTTGACCTGCAAATCACAATTATCTTTAATAGTCTTAGTATTTTTAGAATATTTATTGAAATTTATTTCTATAGGATTTCACTTTATTATTAATTTTAATTCTAGTTTTAAAGAACAAAAATTAAAAAAATACAAAAAAATAGTTTCATATAGTTTGCCTTAATTAATTGAAATTAATTTTACATTTAATAGTATATATTAAAATTATTAAGTTTCTTAATTTATGGACCTTTAGAATTAAAGAGTCCAAAATTTGTGCCCAAATTCGGATGGCCCATTCCTCTTAGCCCAAATCCTCATAACCTAAAAAATTCAAAAAAACCTTAAAATAAAAGAGGCTCCTCTCTCATTCTCACAGGAGTAGGGCACGAAAGAAAACAGAGAGAGCTAAGAAAGATGGCAGCAACTGTTGCGCATAGATGGTAGTGACGCAGCTCTCGCTACAGCATCCCGGTCAACGCCATCCTTAGCTCTTCCACATGTACCTCATCCTTGTTAACATCATTAAACCAGATGCAAAATCTTCTATAAGAACACCCCAAACAGTCACTAAAACCATACACGAAAATAGCCATTGCCGAGGTCGGTTGCGGTGGTATTCCGTTCCGATCGAGTCGAGTTCACGGTTTGGAGGTTTTTCCGGTCGCGGTCCAGTTCGTTTTTCTTTTCAAGTTCCGTTATCAATTTTTGGATTTTGATTCCATCTCACAGCTGCTTTGTTAGAGATTTGATTTGGATATTCTTCTTAAATACAAAGGTCCGATTCTTTCCTATCTTTTGGGTATTAAATTCTTGAATTCTCTTATTTTAATTAGTTCCATGTTTACGGTAGTTAGGCGTGAGTTTTTGTTTTATCCCATTACTGTTCAATTCATGGATACTAAGATTTTCATTTGGATAATAAGTTTGTGCTTGTATGACTGAAGTAACTGATTCATGAGTTCAATTTTAATTTGATAATTTAGTTCTTTAGTTGGTTGGTTTCCATTTTAAGCAGTAAAATCGTTTGGGATTAAACTTTTGAATTCTTTGAAGTAATGACGTGATACGGGTCTAGTTTAGTCTTGAAAACTAACATGTTATGTTTTTATTGATAAAACTGGAATCTTGCTCATAAGTGGGGTAATAGATTTATTAGCTTTTGTTGATGAGCCAATATGAATTTTGTTTGGATCTGATTAAGATAAGCATAAGAATAATGATACGTATACTGCTTTCGTTATATTGTATTTATTTTTGTTTAATTTGTCAACCTCTCACAATAATTTCTATAATTCTTGACCTCACAAGCAATCTCAAAGTAGTTTAAGAAAATAACTCACGAACACACGCTAGTTGCTTTAGGCGCGACTAATAAGTATCGTGATTATGGGTACGGTTCCCGTGGCATGGTCGCGATATGTAAATTCCAATTCGGGTGTGCATTTCATGTGACCCGACCATAACTTTGAATAATAATAAAATTAACATGTTGTAAATCGCGGGTGCATTTCACAAGGCGCGGTTTGCAATGTGTACAAAAACAAACGAGTGCGCTACATCGCGACTTGTTCAAATAAATTTCATAAGTACTAAAAGCAGTTTTAAAGGTAAAATGCACAATAGGTTTTTAAACAATATAATGAATCAGATAATTAAGCCAAGTATTAATTGTTAAGCGACCGTGCTAAAATCACAGAACTCGGGAGTGCCTCACACCTTCTTCCGGGTTAACAGAATTCCTTACCCGGTCTTCTGTATTCGCGGACCATCAATAAAAGTCAATTTCCTCGATTTAGGATTTAAAAATAAACCGGTGACTTGGAACACCATAAATTATTTCAAATGGCGACTCTGAATGAATAAATAATCTCATTTCGATTAATGTCAATTTAATTGGAAAAACTCCCTATTCCCATATCCCCTCGAAAAAAAAGAGGTGTGACATCTTTTGGACGAAATGACAAATTGTAGATATCGTTTACAGAATATGATCGTCACTATACGTTCGGCTGAGAAATTTTGATGGACTGAATCGACAGAAAAGCAAAAAATATACATATTAAAATGTTTTTCACTCTCGGCCTCTAGGGTCACGGGCGAATCTAGACTTATTACACTGGGTTCATTTGAACCAAATACTTTAACGTAAAATAAATTTATATGTAAAAGTTTATTAAAATTATACCAAATAATAAATATAAACTTATAAGAATTTTAAAGATTGAATCCATATAGTTCAATTCTGAATTTACTTCTGTCTAGGGTAACCTGACATGTTATAGAATATTCGATTGTTGAACGTAGATAGATATTTGCGAATTGTTCTTCACAATATGATACCCTAGGATTCTGATGAACCTAGCCAACTATTTTGTTGTTTAAGAAATCTTCAATATATGCTTTGCATGTTCTTCGAAATGATTTAATATTATTTTTCTAGTTTTATTAGAGCTCGTCAAAAATTAGTTTATTGACTAAACTTTTTGAATTCCATTTATTCTATATCCTGAATAATACAACTTTGCAATTAGTAGCTCTTTTTTAACTTCTTAATTGAAGTTCAATATTAGCTTTTTCAGTAGGAATTAATCTTTTGCATTTCTATCTATCTCACCTTTACAAATTATCACCTTAAAAGCCAAGAAATTGGAAAGAGGGGAAAACTCTTAAACCTTCCAAGTGGTAGAGAAGAAGAGAAAGAAGAAAAAATAATAATTCAAGCCTTTGTTTCTAACCTAATGTTTCTGTGAGGAAATGATCTCCTGTGACTATTTATATTTTAAGTAGCGAAAGTAATATTATATATAAAGATATCGTATATTTTATTTATCAATTTTCTATGTTATTTTTTTACCAATCTCCTTTAAAACGGGTTATAATTAAAAGAGCATTTATAATGGATCATAAAACTGATCTCCGCTTTTTTTTTTTCGGAAGAGAAGTTCAATCAGAAGATGCATGTGATTTTTGTTTATGTATACAGATATCTTTAGAAGTTTAATTAATTGATTGGATTATCATGGAGTATTTGTTCTTTAGCGAATGATATGATCACCAACCTAACAATTTGTCGCTCTCATGCATCATCAATTAAAGATCGACATAAATTAATGTATGTTAATTAATTAATATATACATGAATTTTTTTGAAGGGGTTGCTGTTGGGTGTGGATGGCAAACTTTTGTGGCCTACGTTAACGTGGGATGTTACTACGTTGTTGGCATTCCATTGGGTATTGTTCTCGGTTTTAACTTCAAGCTCGAAGCTAAGGTATATTCTCTTTACCAATTCTTTCACAATTTTATATTTTTAAGTTGAAAAAAAAACTTATTAAATTTATTATGTGAATATTATTCCAATCCCCATGACAACTAAAAAAAGACAGAATTAAAACAGTAATTGTTTTTTCTCTTTACGATGGAGTAATATTAAGCATGAGGAAAAATGTAAAATATTATTTTTAATTTGAAATACTTTTTGTTCTTAATTATGACCAACTGATGTTAATTTTGTTTTGCTGAATGGGAAGGGAATATGGTTGGGATTGTTAGGAGGAACAGCTATGCAGACCATCATCTTACTGTGGGTGACTTTTCGAACCAATTGGGAGCAAGAGGTATGTTTTAGAATTTGATTACTTGTTTTATTTTTGAAAGAAAAAGAAAAACGTTTGCTTGAGCAGTCTTTTGAGGGAAAGAAAAAAGTTATCTTTTTTTGAAGATTTCCTAACTCAGTTTTTCAAATATTTTCAAAAATGATTTTTTTTTGGGAGCTTTTGAAAGATTTGAAAAAACTGAATTTGCAAAAATGGGTCAAACAAACACTTCTTCCCTTAAAATTAATTTCGAAAAACTACTTTCTAAAACCTAGTGTTCAAAAATACTCTACTAGTAATTTTCGATCATGCAATATAATTAAAATCTGACCCTTGATCAACCGTGGCAAGTTAAATTACCTATGTATATTATAAGCATAATCAAATGTTCCAATAGCACTTTAGCTTTCGATGATTTAGTAGAAATTTAGTTGTTCGCCTGATAATATAATGATTCTTCTATAAATTACGTACAAAGCCTTTTTAATTCACTTGTATTTTTTTTGGCTAAATATTGTTTAGGTTAATGTTCGAGCTAGTGGAAGTGTTTTCCTGTAATTATATAGCCAACGCCCAACATGTTTGACGATGAATATGTTGTTTGTTCACTTTGACTGGCTAATTAAGCTCTGTTTTTTACTTGTGTTTTACAGGTGGAAAAAGCAAAGAGCCGATTAAATATGTGGCAAGACCAGAGTAAAAAGCCATTGTTGAATGATTGAGAAGCAACAGCCGGAAAATTAGCTAATTCAATTGGACCAATGACAATACGTCATCCCATATTTCACTGTCTTAATTTTCGTACTTTTCATCTCTAGGCACATTAACCGTTGGAAAATTGTTAAAGAAAATGGGGTATGGGTATATTTTAGCCATTCCACATGCTTCATTTTTTTAGCAACAGAGAGGGGTCTTATAAGATTGGGAAAAAAAAAAGGGAGGGGATCTTAGATGCGGAAATTGCAAAGTTAAGAACAGATTATCCACANGGGGGGGGGGGGGAGGGGGGTTATAATATGTATTATTAAATGATAGTTTTGCAAAGTTAAGATGCAGATTATCATTTTCTGTTTTTGAAAAATACCGAACCTAAAAAACTTTTTCGAAAAAAAAAAACAAAGTTCTCAAAAAGACTTTGCATTTGCAACCTAAGAAGGCATTTAATCTGTACATGAACTTATTTGATTCATGGAGATATTAGTGAACGAAAGATTGGGAAGAACTTTTTTAACATCAAATCATATTAGCACCAAAAGATACAAAATTGAGACGGAATTTAAACATAATCAAATGATAAATTGCACCAAATTCACGCTACCAGCAGTAGCATATATTCTAACTCTAGGCAAAGAATTTATCTGATTTCCTCTTTTCTAAAAGTGACTCTTCACCCTAGGAATAAGGAACTTCTTAGTAGACAACACTTAATTATCTTCTTAATGGATCAAATCGACGCGAATCTAAATGAGTACGTTTCAAATACCGAAAGCATACAGAAAAAAGATATGATTCTTTAGGTGATATTTGAAAATTGACATATCATTAGTAAACTGTATAACAAAAAGAGAGAGAGAGCAATGGAGTGTAAGAGAGAATGTGATGAGCCCTGTGAATCCATGTCACCATCATCGGCAGCACCAGAAGTGTTAGAACCGAATCATCAAACAATAAGCTCTGAGCTTGAAGAAATGCTATCAGATAAAAGCTTATCTTTTTTCGTGCGATTTCGACGTTCAATCAAAATCGAATTAAGTAATCTCTTGCCTCTGGCAGGCCCGGCAATTATAGTTTATATGCTGAATAATCTCATTTCTATCGTCACTCAAATCTTCTGTGGACGTCTTGGGAGTTTTGAATTAGCTGTGTTGGCCTAAGTGAAGGTTAGTTTTGAAGATTGACAAAGGAAGCTCAATCATGAACCATGTCCATCCCCTGTGTGCATAGACACGGGCAGATTTGAGCACGTGGGATGCACGTGAAGGAGATAAGCTTAACTTGGTCTAATTATTATCTCCTGATCGAAAAGGGTTGCATAATTGATAAGGAGAAAGATTCCTTAATAAAAAAGAACACTATCCAAGATAAGGGAGGAGTTAGAGGTTGAGATCAACTAGAACTCTTCCACCTAGAAAGAATAGCATTAGAACTCTAGTTATTTCTTCAACTACTAACTCTATATAGTGCAAGATGTTCTCACTCTATAGGTGACGCACAAAACCAGAAGTTAAACGTGAATTGAGAGCAAAATAGCATGGCATTTTGCAAGCAGTTCATGTGTAATTCAAGTGTGCGAACCTGAAGCTACATGAACCAAATAGAAGAACCAGTTCCAAGTGTCTGTCTTTTATTCTAGTTCAATTGTAGTAGGTATTTTCATATTGTACCTTTCAGTTTTATCTAGAGACAATTGTAATGGGTACTCAAAATATTCAAGTTAGAGTTAACTTGAAGTTGTCGCAATAGTTAGAGGCTGGTTGCCACAACAGGATTAGAGTTAATCCTAGGTTTACAAAAGTATTTTGTAAATACAGTTTTTGGCTCAGTGATTTAGTGGAGAATTTGGAAAAATCCTACTGGGAAGTAGGTCGTGGTTTTCTCACCTTTTGAGCGAGGTATTTTTCACGTAAAATACTTGTGTTCTTAAATTTCTGCATTTATTATTTCGCAACAGTAGTATAAGGAACACATAGAAGAACCAGGTCCTTCTATAATCTGTGCACGGGAAAAATTGGACGCCACACAAATCACCCCTCCCTCTTGTGTGGTATTGAAGTTAAAACGTCAATTGGTATCAGAGCAGGTTATCCTTGAAAAGACTAACACCTTAGGAGAAGATCAAGAAGAGTGCACTACCTGAAAACTGGGAAGGGCAATCCACTGCTAGGCCACCACTCTTCAACGGCCAGTATTACTCTTGGTGGAAAAGCAGGATGAGAGATCACATCATAGGAGAAGACTATGAGCTATGGGACATTGTCACAGATGGTCCACTGGCTACCATGAAGATAAATACCGAAGGAGAAGAGGTGCCAAAAACAAGAGCTGATTGCACTGCTGACAACTTGAGGAAATAAGAGAAGAATGCTAGAGCCAAAAAATGGCTTGTTTGTGGACTCGGTCCAGATAAGTACAGTAGAATTCGAAGATGTACCACTGCTAAGGAAATCTGGGACACTTTACAAGTGGCCCATGAAGGAACACCTCAAGTGAAGAGGTCCAGAGGAACACTACTATATTCTCAATATGAGAATTTCACCATGTAGGAAGGGGAAACCATCCAAGAGATGTATACAAGGTTCACCACACTGACAAATAAACTTAAGTCTCTTGGAAGGATTATTTCTGAAGAAAATTCTGACAAGGGTTCTGCCAGTTACTTGGGAGAGCAAAATCACTGTCATTCAGGAATCAAAGAACATTGTCACTTTTAGGTTGGATGAGCTAATTGGAAATCTCACTGCTTATGAACTTAGAAGAAAAACCATGAAGATGGATATACCCAAGAAGGAAAGGAGCCTGGCACTCAGAATCACTGAAGGTTCTGAGCTAGAAGATGATGAAATGGCTATTATCACAAAGGACTTCAAGAAGTACCCAATGAGAGGAAAGGGTTCTTCAAGAAGTGGAGGCTACAGTAAACAAAGGGTTCCTGAAAACAGACCAATGTGGGCTACTACAAGTGTGGGAAGACTGATCACCACATCAAAAACTACCCTCAATGGCTATGGAAAGAGCTAAACGAAGATACAGAAAGAAGGAACATGTTCATCCCAAGAAGAACAAAGGATCAACAAAGGCTATGGTTGCTGCTTGGGGAGAAAGCTCAAATGAGGACTCAAATGATGAAGATGGAGATTAACAAGCACTTATGGCAATTGGAGAATCCGATGAGGAATCTGAAGTAAGTATAATCCATCTAAAAGACAAGATTAAGTCTAAAGAAAGGCTATCTGAGTTACTTCTAGATTTCATTGATGAATCTGAGGATATAAACAATGAAAAGAAACAACTGTCTAAGGAATGTATGATTTTAAAAGTAAAGTGTAAGAACCTGAAACTCAGAGTTAGTGAAACTATAAGTGAAAATACTGCACTAAAGAACCAGGTTCATGCATTTGAATCAAATATCCTAGAACTTAGATCTGAAAACATAAAACTGAAATTAGGAACAAGTAAGAAGACAACTGATTGCACACAACTCACTCTAGAAGAAAATGTAGGTAAACTAAAAGATGAGTTGTATAAGAAGGATGAGCAGGTTAGAATTTTGAAGGAGGATCTAGGCAAAGTCAAGCATGAACTAGAAAAAACTTGTAAATGGAACAGGTCCTGCGATGCACTTTCATGGCTACAGGGACATCTTAGTAGCAATAGAAGAGGGCTTGGCTTTGGAAATCTTCCACCTAAATGGAATCCCAAAAGAAAGTACCTTACACTTCCTGAGAATAAGATTTGTACTCACTGTGGTAAAATGGGTCACTATAAAAGTGAATGCAATACAAAAGATAAGGCAATCCAAAAGAACAAAGAATTTATTCAAGGGAAGAATAGGCTATCAAGTTGGGCTAAAAAGAATCTGATTCATCCTTTTGCCTATAGAATGGGACCCAAACTAGTTTGGATTGCTAAGACTAACCCCTGATTTCCTTTTGCAGGTCCAAGTGAAGGGGAGCAGCCAAATATGGTACATGAATAGTGGCTGCTCAAAGCACATGACAGGAAGCAAGAACCATTTCCTTTCACTTGAGGACCTCAAAGGAGGTAATGTCTCCTTTGGAAATGGGAAGAAATGTGAGATCATTGAGGTTGGTAAGGTAGGTAAGACTGACTCTCACTCGATTGAGAATGTCTATTTAAAAGATAGCCTAAAATACAGTCTAATTAGTGTATCACAACTGTGTGATAGAGGTAACTTGGTGGCATTCACCTCTACTAAATGCTTTGTGATTAATCTTACCACTGACAAGATTGTTTTGCAGGGAAAAAGAGTGAACAATATATATATTGTAGATCTGTCCACACTGTCAAAAAATGAACTCACTTGCTTAAGTGTGTTGGACAATGATCCCCTCCTTTGGCATAAGAGACTTGGACATGCAAGTCTGAGTCAACTCAACAAATTAGTCTACAAGGACTTGGTGATAGGATTGCCTAACATCAAGTTCAAGGAAGACAAAGTTTGTGAGGCTTGTGAAAGGGGGAAGCATGTAAGATCTTCCTTTAAATGCAAGAAAGTGGTAAGTACCACCAGAACGATGGAACTGGTCCATATGGATCTCTGTGGTCCAATGAGAATATTAAGCAGAGGTGGTAAAAGATATGTGATGGTGCTTGTTGTTGATTACTCTAGGTTTACTTGGACATTATTTTTAACATCTAAAGATGAAGCATTTGACATGTTCACTTTTTTTGTTAGAAAAACTCAGAAACAACTAGGTAATCAACTTGCATCAATTAGGTCTGATCATGGCACTGAATTCGAAAATGCTAAATTTGCTGAATTTTGTGATGAGCATGGCATCGATCAAAATATTTTTGCTCCTAGGACTCCAAAACAAAATGGAGTAGTTGAAAGAAAGAATAGGACACTTGAAGATATGGCTAGGACTATGCTTCTTTCTAGTAAACTGCCCCACAGCTTCTGGACAGAAGCTGTAAATACTGCATGCTACATCATAAATAGATGCATGACTAGACCTCTTGTTGAGAAGACTCCCTATGAGTTACTTAGAGAGAGAAAACCAAATATATCTCATCTTAGGGCATTTGGATGCAAGTGCTTTGTGCACAACAATGGTAAAGACTCCCTAGGCAAGTTTGATCCCAGAAGTGACGAGAGAGTATTCTTGGGATATTCTTCACATAGCAAAGCTTATAAAGTCT